AAAATAAAATAAAATAAAAGCCATATCACACAAAAGCAAAAAATAAAAAGAAAACAAAATTGAAACGTTATACGAATTTCAGAAAAATTTTCTCGCATTTTCTCTGTTTTTCTTCCTCTGCAACTCAAAGATCAACATCGTGTTTGATGAGAAGACAAAAGAGCTGAATTCTTCTCTGTTCTGTTTCAGTCGATCGATTTTCGATGAGAAGAAGTTTCAGAATCGAAGAATCCAATTCCGTCGCGAATTGAACTCTGTGTTTCAGAGCAATAAAATCGGAGGAAAATGGAAGAGAATTCTGCAAAAAGGAAGGCTATGGGGACGATACATGATCTAATCGAGGAAGCCAAGCTCCGGACGGTGTGGTGGGCTTTGGTTATCTTTACCGTCACTTACTTCTTGTCTCGTAAGTCAATAATCGGAATCTTCTTCATCTCACTGTGTTTGCTTGATTCTTCATCAATTTCGCGTTCGTTACTATTTTTTGTGAATTTTTTTTTTTTTTAAATTTCGTTTTGTTTGGTTAATGCTTGCTCTCAAGCTGATTGCGAATGCTTAATTGAGTGAGGATTTGGAAGTTTTTTTGTTGATTGATTGAGTTAGGGTTTTTTTATCCTGTATTATCTGTTGCTAAATTTAATGCATACTATGGTTTCTGGATTTTGATTGTAATTTTTAGTTTCTGCTTGCCTTGCATTGGGAATTTGGATATACCTCTGTGATTTTGTAACTTCTGATATGTAATGCAGATACAAGTAAGTCAATGTGGATGAATTTGCCAATAGCAATTCTCTTTGTGGCTGCATTGCGGATTTTAACTAATGAGGTTGAGTTCAGATGGAAAGTTCAACCAGTCCACAGGCAAAGTTGCTTGCCTCGTTTGGAGAAGAAACAGTTGTCTGTGAATGATTTGCGGCTCTCTAGTGCACCACCTTCTCAAAAGTGGAAGAGGAAAATTGATTCTCCTATGGTAGAGGCTGCGTTGAATGAGTTTATTGATAAGATACTTAAGGATTTTGTTATAGATCTGTGGTATGCAGATATTACACCAGATAGGGAGGCCCCTGAGCTAATTCGTGCAGTTATCATGGATGCTATTGGTGAAATATCAGGAAGGGTGAAGGAGATAAATCTTGTTGACTTGCTAACAAGGTATTCTATCTCTGTCTAAAGATTTTGTGAGTCATTAAGAAGCTTTATCTGTTATAAAAATGGCCAGGTTCTTAAAACATCAGCTTTAAATGTTTAATGTTTCAGGGATATAATTGATTTAATAGGGGATCATTTAGAACTTTTTAGAAGAAACCAAGCTGCTATAGGAGTGGATGTTATGGAAACATTATCTTCTGAGGAGAGGGATGAAAGGCTGAAACACCATCTTATGGTTTCTGAAGAGCTTCATCCTGGACTAATATCCCCTGAGAGTGAGTACAAGGTGTGAGTGTAGTTTTCTAATGAAAAAATATATATATTGCTGGATTTTATGCATTTCTTTTTTGTAAATATTTATACTTTTCAGGTTCTTCAAAGGCTTATTGCTGGAGTTTTAGCTATAGTGCTGAGGCCACGGGAAGCTCAATGTCCTTTAGTTCGAACTATTGCACGAGAGATTGTAACTTGCTTGGTGTTGCAACCTATTTTGAATCTGGCAAGCCCTGTGTAAGTTCCTGATTGATCCTTTCTGTTTTGATCAATAGTTGAAGATAACAATCTAATGATTACTTGTTCTTAAATAATTGTAGTTTCTGTTATTGGAGAAAGCCTAGGATGTTTAGTTTGTCATTAAGGAAATGCATCTTTTTTAAGTGTTTTTTGGTGCTCAGAATGGTGGCTTGGTTGGAAAATGGCCAATCATGCTGCATGGACTGACTTTATAAGAATGGTGTGCTATCTTGATGGGAGACTTCCCTGCAACTTATTATTGAAAAATGGAACACAAAATCTTAATGGATAAGGTTTTAAAATAACTTTAGCAAGCTTATAATAGGTATTTCGAACTTTCTAGTTTCTAAAGAAGCAGCTATGTGCTGAACCTTCAAGTATATCCCATACTCTTTTTTGAATATGGCAGCATTCTCTTTAGAAACAAGCATATCTAGGTCAAGTATATAACGGTCAGTAAATAGGCCATTGCTAGCTTTCCTATTAGCCCCTTTCTGTTACCCCCCCAAAAAATTATTATACTAATAAGGATTTCTCTGTGTGGTACTATTGAAAATTTATTGCTTATATGGTCAATCTCTCTATGTCTTATCATCACATTGGGCCATATTATCCATTAGGGCACTGGGTTCCTTAGTTAGGCTGTGTTAGAAAGTTCTCTCATTCTCACTCTCACCCCACCCCTTCTTTTTCTCAGGTATTTCATGTTTTGAACTTTGCATTGTCAACCATCTGGACTTGTTTATTAACTAGGCTGGACTGCTTTAACTTTTCTAAACTGGTCAATTTTTAGCTGAAGTATAAATTGAAAGGATATCATTTGAAATCTTGGTATATGTCTTGTAATAAAATGCCTAGTTCTTTGTTATTTGAATATCCTAAGATGTTAATCACTAATCAGATAACTGTTCTTGTCTTCCTTTTGGTGGAATGTCTAACCCCTTTAATTAAGATTTGTTGCCTCTTGACAGGAATATCAATGAGTTGATTGAATTAGTCTTGCTAACCATAACCAAAGATGGAGGTCTGAATTGGTCCATTGTGGGGGTACAAAGTGGCTATTCAACCTCCAGCAAATTTTCATCCTTCAGTAATCAAGGAACTGCTATGACTCTGACTAAAATTGATGATCGGAGAGAAACATATTCAGACTATAACATATATGATGAAGAACGAAAGCAGCCACGGCCTGCTGATTGGGTTCGAATGCTGGAGGTGGCAACCCAGAGAAGAACTGAAGTTCTTGCTCCTGAAAATCTTGAAAACATGTGGACAAAGGGAAGAAATTATAAGAAGAAAGAGAACAAAAATGTAAAAGATGGAGTGCGAGAACCTATTTCAAAAGGTGCCACCATAAAGAGTGCTGTTCCTTCTGGGAATTTTGGAAAGGAAGTGTCTGCCAACAGGGCTGGTGTTTCGACTGGAATGGAAGAGAAAACTGTGGTGCAGTTAATACCTCAATTTAGGCTTGACAATCGATTAAGTAATGAGAAAGAAAAGGGCTCAGAGTTAGCTCAGGAATTTAACAAATCATGTTTATTTGTTGGGCATCATCTTGTTAATGAATTAGATAATACTAGTGAGCAAGCTGCTGCTGAACATAAAAGTAGGCTTCATAGATCTCATAGCACCTCTGCCTTGAAAGATGAACTTGAAATAAAAAATGAATTTAGGGGAGATGTTGAAGGCCCAATTTTTTCAGAGTTCTATAGCCCAGATTTTGAAAGGTGTAGTATAGAATTTGAGGGTAAAAATGCCTCAAATATTGTACTCCGCAGTGAGGGGCAACATGTTCCTAAGCTTAGATGTCGGGTGAGCATTCACTGCTAAAATTGTCTCCAGTTTCTAGAACTGCTAGCTGAATCCATTTCTGGCATAGGATGTAAATTATGAACACTCCTGTTTTCCTTTCTTCTTTCTGCAGGTTATGGGAGCATACTTTGAGAAACTCAGATCAAATTCATTTGCAGTTTATTCAATAGCAGTGACAGATGCTGAAAATAGAACCTGGTTTGTCAAGAGAAGGTCTAATTCTGATATGCCTTTGAATCACATGAATACTAATTACTAAGTCCTTTTATTTAGGTCCATTGAAGAGTTCATTATTTTGTTGGCACTTTTTACTTCTTTTAAACATAAGATGGTTAATTTTTCATTGCAACAGATCATCAGAGAGCTCTTGAAATTTATAGATTGCCACTGGTCAAAGTAAATTCAACTTGTTTTTGAGATCTTATTTCCATTTTCATTTTTCATTACAGATATAGGAACTTTGAACGCTTGCATCGACATCTTAAAGACATTCCAAATTATACACTGCAGTTGCCTCCCAAAAGACTATTCTCATCAAGCACGGAGGATGCTTTTGTTCACCAACGCTGCATTCAGCTTGACAAATATCTGCAAGTACGTATAAGTCCCTACTTTGTATTTCTCCAGCAGCATTTTTTCCTTTCCTGATACTCGGGTATGCTGCCTCTTTGTAGGATCTGTTGTCTATAGCGAATGTTGCTGAACAGCATGAAGTGTGGGATTTTTTAAGTGTTTCCTCAAAGGTACACAATTTTCTTGACATTTTGCATAAATCTCATTTTTAGCTCTCTCTCTCTCTTATTTTCTATGTTTATTTTTTTAAAATTCATCTAAATGCAGTCTACCAACTGATATCTGAATCCTTTATTGATTGCCCTTTGTTTTTGAAGAATTACTCTTTTGGAAAATCTTCATCAGTGATGAGAACACTTGCAGGTATGTTTTTCTTTCCTGGCTTATATTTTATGTTTTCTGTTTATACGTTTGTTTTAACTTTATTGATTTTTCCAGCATCAGATTATTTAACTTCTCTTACAATTTTTCTTTGCATTTTTTTGAAATTGCTGTCATTGAGTACTAGAAGGTTCAGGAATGCAAGTGCATGAATCGCTCTCCTCATAGATAAATATTATTTCTGCTGTGTGTGTGTGTGTGTGTGTTTTTTTTTTTTTCTCCCTAAGCAGTATACCTATCTTGTTATTTTATTTTATTATCATTTTTAGAAGTTTGATTTTATGCTGTCCCAAGTTCTTTGATTAGTCTGACTTTTTCTTTCACTTATGGCTGATTGGCTTTCTTGCTTCTCTTTTTGATGACTTATGCTGCATTAGCTTTGACTATTTCACTTGTGGTGGTTTCTTTCTCATGATTGTTTGTGTTTTGTAAATTTGTAATCTTTCATTTATTTGGTATGCAGAGTGTCTTTGTGTTGGCTACTCCTTTTTCTTTGAAGACAAGCTTTGTTAACTCCTCCATTTCTAATGCTTTGACATGGTGTTTATCATGCTTTTCTTGAAATATCCAATCATTGTTTAAATTTGCACTTTTTCTTAAAAAATTATCCTGAGAAGTGAGAAATATCATCTTCTAACCTCCATCTTTTTAAAAATTTCTGATTTTAGATTAATTTGGCTGGCCTGGCATTTTACATGGAATGTTCTTGTCTAATCATTTTAATCTTCTCCTCATATTTCTTCCCTTTTGTTTATGGATAGTGAATGTTGATGACGCTGTCGATGATATTGTACGCCAATTTAAGGGGGTTTCAGATGGCTTGATGCGTATTGTGGGTTCTCCCCTCAATGAAGCCTCCTCTTCCATTACTAACAAGAACTCTTCATGGAATTCAGATAAGAAACAAAAATCTGTTTCAGGGCAAAATAACCTAGAGATAACGGATAGCACTTCTGATAATGAAGGTGAAAAGGATGGAAGTCATGGTCATGATAAAGGCAGAACTGGTGCACTAGCAAATAGTTGGGATTTAGACAACAAGTTAAACTCAGAGAGTTTTCCACCTGCAGTGATCAAGAGTAGTGGGGATTCTGAGAACTTTGAATCTGAGAAACTAAATTTGGATTTGAAAGCTGAACAAATTGGCCAGGGTGAATCTACTTCAGCAAAATTTTCTACAACCTCCAACCATTTTGAAGATCCAGTTGAAATGCCACCTGAGGTATTTTGAATTCAGTTTAGAGCATTTCTTTTTCATCTTAGACATTATACTTTATCCACAGTTTTATCAATCTGTCCCAATACATCCCGGTACCTTGGTTTTGATTATATAGAATAATTAGCATTTTTTTATTGAAAACCACCCACTACACTTGCAGGTTTGCTACATCAAAAAAATTGATTGACTTATGAAGGTTATGATGTTTATCCCAACCACATATTCCTATCTGGTATCCCATGATCATTAATGGCCAAAAAATAAGAACCAAGATTGTCGTTTTTAAGTTCCATAGATTCATCACATATGTTCTGTCACTGTTGCCTTTCCTTTGGTCTGCCTTTGTCTGCACCTCTCAGATGTTACCTAGTGGATCCTGTCAATTGATCATCTTCATTCTTAATTCCTGATTTATTTCTTAGTTTCTGCATGCAAATTTTATCATTGCTTATGGAAATGTTTAGGAATTATGATGTCTACCGTTAACCTTCTTTTTTTTTTTTGTGTAGTGGACACCACCTAATGTTAGTGTACCTTTACTGAATCTAGTTGATAAAGTGTTTCAGCTTAAGAGAAGAGGCTGGTTGAGGTAAGCTAATTCTTATCTTATTTCAGTATCTGCCAATGAATTGTCATTGGTGACCCAGGTTGGACCCGTGGTTGTTTTATACCTTGTTATACCTTTCTTTTTGAGGGAGACATCCAAGGTTTTAATCCTTATTGATGTAAAATAAGGAATTTCTACAAACAAATTCTTTGATTTCTTGGAAAAGATTTTCCTGAAATTTTCTGCCATGTGTTTGCTGTTAAAAAAATCTTTTTTTGGCTTTCATGTTAGAGAAAAGTGAAAATCAGGATGTCCTAACATTTTAAGGACTTCCTTTGAAATTATTCAAATACACCTAATGAATCTTCCTTGCTGTTAATTCATTAAGGGTATTTTAGTCCTTTTATTATCATCCCTGAAATTTTAACCATCCGGATGTCCTGTTTTCCTCTATCCCATCATGTTATTGCTGGTAAGAAATGTTGTCAGTTTCCTTTTTGGTCAATAACTGATATCCCATTTTTGAGATTTGCATAAATTGTTGAGTAGTTTTATGCCTAGAGTAGCAATAGTTAAACTGTCATGATCTTCCCCTCTGATGATGAGCTATACAAGACGAGATGGCCCTCTCCTTTACTCAAATCCCTCCCCACTATTTGTTCTTCTGAGTATCTGATTACCAACCTTTTATTATTTTCCAATGGCTACTCTGGTCTGTAGGAGTTCTGCAGAAAATTGTTAGCATGGCCTTAGTGGCATTTGGCTTTTATCTTTAGAGATCCAAGTATCCAACTGATTTCTTTCAGTGGTATGGTTGTCTGAACAGTCAAAGTTTGAAGCCTTTTTCCCATTGTAACGGTTATGCAACTATCTGGTCTTTTGGGCTGATTTGATTATATTAAAGGACATTCTTTTATGTGGTAACATGCCATCTTTCCCATAATTTTTGTTTTGACCTCTTGCTTCTTATCGTTTATGCAGAAGGCAGGTCTTTTGGATATCAAAGCAAATATTACACTTGGTGATGGACGATGCTATTGATGATTTTCTCTTGAGGCAGATCTACTGGCTTCGGAAGGAGGAGACCATTACACAAGGGATTCAGTGGATTCAAGATGTAAGAACTGGACAAATCAGAAGCATCACAATTTTTTAAATTTACTTTACCCTCTCAGCCTTATGAAATTGCACAGGTCTTCTAGAAGCTTAACTATGAAAAGGATTATTAGGGCCCATGTTTTAAACTTTTATTATGAAGTAGCCACTAGCCACATTCCGTTCATGGGAGTTCATGTAAAATTCACATCAGTGTTCTGCATCAGAAACTGAACCTGCTTGTCAAGACTGCTGCCTCATCCTTTATTTACTTCTTGTTCTAGATAAAATCTTAGCTTTTCTGCAATGAAATAGTTCTCAAAGTTATCTGATACCTTTGTGCTGTGTCTCTCAGTTGGGGCTCATTTTGTTTGCTTATGTCTCTGTCTCTCAGCTAGTTCTCAATCCTCAGTGCTTGTTTTGTTCTTTTGTGTGCTGCTTTTTTGTACTTTCAGTTCCTCTTGTTTTGATCTGCTGTTGGTTTTTTATGTGGTTTAGCTTGGAGCTTTATCAGTAAGTTTATTATGTCAGTTCCCTTTTGTTCATGAACCTTGTAGTAATATGCCACATCAACATTTGTATGGACACCCATGTTTTTGTATGAAGTAGCCACATTTTTTATATAATTTTTTATAAAGAATCTCCCTGCATCAACACAGTAAATAATTTCCCACATTATGTTGATCTTTGCATGAATATAGATCTCTAACAAACAGAATTCATTGCACATCCTATTGCTTATTTATTTCTTTGAATTCCTCCACCATGCTTCATTCTTTTTGAACCAATTCACTCCCATATAAAAGGATTAATTTTATTAATTCATGTTAGACAAGTGTAATTTCTTTTACAGCTATCATGATCCCCACAAAATCTCAGTTACATCATTCTTTTCTTGTTGCAAACTTTTTGTCAAAGTTCTCTACTTGTTATTTTTTTAAATAATGACATTATAAAAGGAAAAGAAAAATTCTTATTCTTCTAATTGTCTTAGTTTTGTTTTTCCCTGTTGCTTCTCAGGTTCTCTGGCCAGGGGGCATATTCTTTACAAAAGTAGGAAATACTGAAAGCGAATTCAACGAGTATCAATCCAGTCAGACAGGTTTCCAGATGATGGGCCAGTTTGGTGGTTGTAAGATCTCTAAGCCAATTTCCTTTGAGGAACAACTTGAGGCTGCTCGCAGAGCAAGTGACATCAAAAAAATGCTTTTTGGTCAGTCTAGTTTTACTTTCTAATTTCTTATCTATTTAAGATCAGTGGGAATAATTGCCTTGACTCTTATTTGTTTGACTTTCTTCCAAGCCTCCATGGTCATTGCTTCAGATGGTTTCCCTACTCTGTTGTTAAGTCATTATCTTTCTGATTATAATTTCCAACATTTCTGCCAGATGGAGCACCAACAGCCTTAGTTAGCTTGATTGGGAATAAGCAATACAAACGATGTGCAAGAGACATTTACCATTTCACCCAGGTTGATCCTTCTCATCTTTCTCCACTAAGCATAGCCATAATTGTCCTTTCATTGTTTTGCTTTTTTTCTTTTCTTTCCACAATCAATTTTATCTAAGTAGTCTTTACCTGTTGCAGTCTACCATCTGTATGAAGCAACTTGCTTTTGCAATATTAGAACTTGTACTCCTATCAGTTTTCCCCGAGCTGCAGGATCTTGTACTGGATCTCCATGGCAAGAGCCATGTTAAGCTTGCCTAATTGCCCTGGTGACCATGAAGTTTATAATGTGATGATTGTTTTGAGGTGTCCAAAGCCTAACTGGCGCAATTATTTGGGACTTCACCTGCGCCACTCAGTTTTTGTCGTGAATGACAAAACACAGGGAATTGTCAAATTTTAGGAAATAGCTCTCACACATTCTTAATAGGTTTAGGGTCTGTACAGAAACCAGCTCGTGTGCATACCTTTTGCCAACAACACCTCATTCCAAATAGGAATTGTGTTGTTTTTGTATCAGGACACTCGGGAATAGAAATTGTGTTGTTTTTGTATCAGGACACTCCGGAACTCACAGTCTATTCATTATTCATTCATTAATTAAGGGTTTTCAAAATTTTGATGTCAAGTTTCAATGGTTTTGAATAAGAAGGTTTGAATTTTATTTCTTTTTTTGTTCTTTTTTTAAAAAAAATTTTTTGGCCTTCATTTTTAGGTGAATGGAGGTTCAAATCCTTTCTAATTTGATGGCTCGGTGGGTGTACAAGCATTGCCTTTTCTTTTAAATCTTGAGTAGAGAGGATTTGAACTTAGAAGTTTTATTTTCAAGACTCTGATGGTAGACATCCCGATTCTAATGCTTTCTCTTAATTTGTTTATTAATATTTTGTAATTTAAATTATAAAATATATATCTTTTATTTTAAATGCCATAGATTAATATCTCATTTACATATTTCTTAATCTTTCAATGAAAATGGTGTTTTAAGCCCAATTGCTTACAACATTTGCGACTAAATTTTCCATGGAGGATATTTTATTTTAAAAAATTATTTCCGCATTTTTACACAACTCTAATCTTTACTGTAAATTGATGACTTGTCCTTACCCAATTGGTTAAGCACTCTAGCGTCATTTGGTCCTTGACTTTATATTGTTCCCGCCCTCTGTCTCTTCGAAGTTTAAAGTTCAAAGTTCAAACATCCTCTGTTTCACTTCGGGGGAAAAGAGAAAGCGGCAGCCCAGCAATGTCGAGGAAGAGGAAGAGAGGGGGAGGAACAGTCGGGGATAAAACCGGTGGATATGAGACGCAGAGGAAGCGGAGGATCAAAGAGAACAGGGAGAGGATGCACAAACTGGGCATCTTTGATCTCTCGCTCAAACTCAAGCCTCCATCCGACCTGACCTCCAGGAACGTTTCTTCTGCTAACAACAAAACCCGCAACCCTCTTCCGCTCTCCGAGCC